GAGAGTTCACCCTACATGCCAATTCAAATATTTTTAAATTAATATTTCCATATCATGAAGGAAATAGATATATTTTTTTTAGATTTAAGAATACGTTATGTTTTACAAATTAAAGGAAAAGTGAAAAATATAATTGTGAGAAGGATATGGCTACATCTTGTTTGTATATTCAAATTTAAATTACGTACGGCGTACAGAGCCAATAAACACGGCGACATCCAAGAAATATTGTACTGTGCGTGGCAGACGACCGGGAACATGGAGAACGATAAGCAGCTAGAACAGCGACCCGGGAATCGCTCGTTCCTCACATATCATTGTGCTTGATATGGAGAGTGAATTCTTCTGGGACCTCATAGGATCGCTATGGGTTCGAAATGAGCAGGAAGTTATTCATGGCAGCCACAGAAGGACTTTTGACAGATGCTGCCGCTAATGACCTTGTATACTAACCGCACAGACTACACCCAGCCATTGCTTAATGAAAGGGAGATTAGCTCATTGAAGACAGGTCTTGTCATTTATGCTCTCAAAGTCGTCCATTCCAAGATTTTCTCTATGACTGCGCGCGAAAATGACCTTTGCACTCCACATCAAAAGTGATATCAAAAACTTTCCTGCTACTTATTTTACTTATTGTCAAACGTTAATTGGGATGTTTTCCTACTGCAGTTTTCTTGTAGGTGAATACAAAAGGCTCCGCGCGCCTTCTGTCTGACGTAATCATAATAATTGTAGAGGATGCCACATATCCATATAAGATATCGGATTTGTAATATAGTCATTATATACTTGAGATTCAAAGCAATAATAAATTCATTTCACTTTTACACTGAATTATTATGATCGGGTCTTCTTAAATATATACATCAGTTCTAATTAAACTTAGTTAACTTCAAAATGTGGCATGATGCGAACCAGCTGGTTTATTACTCAAGACCAAACGAGATGTAGAATCAAATGTGAAGTTCACTGTACTTAACATTCATGACAAATCCAAAAGATATATAATATTTGCCCCCCGTTTCAGTGAGGCCGAAAAGATATTCAATTAAGAGAGATGTTGCATGGGAAATATAATGGAGAAATGTGTTATTGTTTGTGTTTCTTCTAAATGCTTTGTGTATTTCATTTGATTTTGAAACAAATGTGCAAAGACGCAGTACTCTGTCAATATATGCATATGTGTCTGTATTTAAATCATCTTTAGGCCTAGGAACTGTATGAAGATTGCCCAATATGGCCGTCTAAGTACGGCACTTGTGTGAAGAATAAGAAATCAGAGCTAATTCAGAGCTAGAGAAGCCAGAAGGATATCGGCTGTTTTGTAACCAAAAAAAAACACAGAAGGGGATAAAACTTAAAATGTGTGGCCCAAGAGAACAGTTATAATATCATGAGTAGATTATGAATACATTTGATATTTGCGTGGGAGAGGCCAGGTGACAATGACAAGTGATAAACCATTAGCTTCAAAATGCTGTTATGGAGTAAAGAGAACATTTCTTTGGACATACTGGACGCTAGTGGATGAAGAAAATTAAAGTTTGTATTCTGCTGGCTTCTAAAGAATTCACTCTCATAATAAATCTTAATTTTCCCTTGTAAATGTTTGCGTTACTTATGTTTATTTTTTATGTTGGCGGTTTCAGCTAGTAATAACTTGAATTTAGCATTAAGTAAGGTATAAATTAGTATTTGTTTTCGAGCATTCGTTTTCTAATGTCTAGATGAATATTAAGGAACAATGAAACTCACTCCTCAAACCAAGGACTGAGATGTAATTGCTGTACAATCCAGTTATATGCTACATAAATTTTGCTGAAAAAATCTGAATACTAAGAACAGCATATATATATATCAATATCTTTATATACTTTCAGGGAAGCAGATTTTCTTTTGCACTTACAGAAAAATGATTTATTCTATTTTTGTAAAAATAAAACTCACTTTTCAGTTGAAATGTTACTATACCATTGTCATGCAGAGACAACTTGCTTTTGTGGAAGTTGACATTAAAATGACTTTCAATTTAAAAACAAATTAAATAAAAATAATAAAAAATACATTGTCATGAACCAAAAAAGATCCATTTCTTTGTTACTCTGAATTCTTCTACTATGTGACTTCTGTGGAGGTAGAAGTTTTACTAATTACCTACTCTTTTTGCTAAACCCTTTTCCTAGTTAACGGACTGGAAGAAATACTCTAAAAGATCTTGTAACAGCCACATTTCTTGTAATTCCATCACCCTGTATAAAGTAAAGTATTTTGAAATCATTCATCTATGTTCATATTGGTTAATTATCATTACTAATCTGCAATCAGATTGTTTTGAAATATACAATCTTATACAGCAAAAATATATTTTGTCTCAGGCCAAACTAGCTAAGCTCTTAAAACTATAATCACACAACACTAAATACTGCTTATATATCTATATGTCCGTGACTGTTTTGTGTGACTGCATGTACGTGTGTATGTGTATATATACTCTTTATATGTGTATGTACGTATATCTTTGTATAATATACTCTTCATAAATGTATGTAATACTGAACAAACACAGATTGTTAATATAATCAAGGCATGCAATAAATAGATTCAGAATTATGTCTTTATCAACCATGAGCTAAACATAACACAACATTTACCATATATATGTTCTTTAGGATGCTTTGCAATACAGTACATTATTTTAGCATTGATGATACATGTACTATAAGTCTGTATTTTATTTCATTTTATAGAATATACATATACTTCAGCATTTATTTGTGTGTCCATGAATATGGTGTATGCAGTATGCACTATATATATCTGTGAGTGTGTGTGTGTGTGTGTGTGTGTGTGTGTGTGTGTGGTGTGTGTGTGTGTGTGTGTGTGTGTGTGTGTGTGTGTGTGTGTGTGTGTGTGTGTGTGTGTGTGTGTGTGTGTGTGTGTGTGTGTGTGTGTGTGTGTGTGTGTGTGTGTGTGTGTGGTAGATAGATATGTAAGTATATATAGGCAGATATAGATAGATAGATAGATATATGTATATAAATGCACACACTTGTACGTATATCCACATTTATATCAAGGCCTATACGTCAATAATTCAGCCTTTATTAGTAAATGTTTTCATAATGATAATACAAAATATAAATGTATCATAACAATGCCAGCCAAAATACATGTACTGATAAAGCATGTTTGCCTAAATTCTACCTTTAATTATTTTAATGCCACAGAAGACAGACCAGTCGTAAACTTTCCACACCAACTGAACCTCTGTCAAAATGTATACAAATATCCTTTGCATACATGACAAATTTCATCTACACAATCTACTACAAAGTGGCATCAGTGGAATTATATAATTTTTCATATTTATACTCCATATATTTTTTCACAAACACTTACAGCAATTCATGTGTTATTACTAAGCATCAACTAAATGAATGATAGTCTTGACCTCTTGATAAGTAAAATCAACTATTAAGACGTAAAATTGACACAAGAACTACAGTGATGATTAACTGACTTAACATTGATTACATAAGTATACTTCTGTTAGGCCTCTCTGTACATGATCTTGTTGCTACTCTACCTCAGATACCTACATGGTGAGACAAAACAAGCTGAATGGACAAAAGTGGAGAAATCGACATTAAAATCAGTATTAATAACTGGAGTATAATCCTCAGCCATTAAAGAAAACAGAGATAAAGGAGAAAACAAAAAGGTAAAAAGAAATAGGTAAGCTTAAATCATCAGATATATACATACATTTTTTTTTGCTTATTGTCATCCGTATACACGTGAAAATTAGTGATACAAAATGTCAGAGCGGCAAGTCAATATTTGTTTTATGAAAGCTGCAATTCATTGAACAGTTTTCAAACGTTGTTCTGATGTTTGTTACGTATCAATACTAAGAAAAATAAAGCTTGAAATACTCCCCATGTTGGAAAAAGACATATCCTGGCCTCATAAATAATAGCAAGAAAAATATATAAAAAGTGTTGAACAAAAGAGAAAATAAAGGTATTCATGAATGATACAAGAAACTGAAAGAAATATACATACATACAAAAAGGAACTCACATTCACAAGACAATGTCCAATAATGATTAAACGTAAATACAAAATGACTAGTCCCACAGCTTTTGCCCAAGCCAGCCATTTCCTCCCTGATCCTAAGACTAAGTGACTGCATGGTATAGGAGACTGAATCCACTGTGCTTTACTTTCATCGTAATTATACTTTAGTCACTAATAGACTCTATTTTTATATGCTGTTATCAATAATTTTAAAGTAGAAAATATAATTTAACTAGTAATTGTTTGGGAATAAAGTAGAATGTTACAGTATATTTTTTCCATGAAAGATTCATGTGTTTTGTACCTTATGAGGATAGACGAGTGTGACCGTCTGTCACACATGTAGTTTGCTAATATTTTATTTTATATGAATAGGATTTATCGACTAAGGTCAAATCTATGACACAATCTGAAATTTATTTGTGGATAATTTATTTTCTGATTTTGTCAGGCACTGCTTGCATTATTTTCTTTTAATTAATATTTTTCCTGTTCTCTTCCTTTCCTTTTATTTTTCACAAATAAATAAACTATATAACAAGGTTAATGATATACCTGAAGAATGCTTGTTCGTGTACTGTTTTTGTCTTACAAGGTTCCACATCAAAAGATTACTTTTTCTTATGCCGAAATAATCAAAGTCTTGTTTAATCTTTCTTCCCTTCTCTTCCCTCTCTCCACACATCAGGTTTATCTGAATTCTCTCGTTTGATGTTGTATCCTAAACTACCCTTGTTTAAAAGCTGGTAAGAAACTCTTAAAGTTTAATATACTAGCTTTGTCTTTCTTTCCCCTTGACTTTAAATTTCATCCTTTAGTAAATAAATTTTGCATGATCTTTATGTACATTTCCCTAAACACCTCCATTTTGGTTCCATTATATATATATTACTCTCTTTACTTAAGTACCTAAAAGT